TTGCACATGTTCCTAATTTTTGACTAAGATGTATCAGCCCCAAACCATAATGTGAAAATGCCTTGCCGCTACGATTTAATTATCTGTACCAAAATAATAATTACGGTTCTATCATCCGTTCTTTAAGGTACATTTGTTGAAATGCTTTAAGCCGAAAATCAGATTCATTAGCCCAATGACACCTTAAAGCAATGATTGAATTTTCAAATTCCGGACACACACACACAATGCAAAAATTCACTCGGCAAATAGTTCTAGTTTTTAGATTTTTATATTTCAAGTTTTTTGAGGGAATAAGTCAGTTTGTAACACCTTCTGAAGCACGACACGATAACAGTGATATAGTGTGACGTCAGAAAAAATCCCTCAACAAAAAAACAGTGTGTTGAAAGTTTTAATATTGATTGTCTGTTGGCCTGAGAATGGCCGACCACTACTGGTTCCCCCGAGAAACGACGTCTGACTAACGCGCGAGGATCAACGGAGGATGACCAATGAGGTGTCACTACTCAGAGTGCTTCTGATTGGTTGAAATAAGTTTCACTTTTGAAGTTATGAATATATGAAAATCATATATGTGAACTGCGGAGTGAAGAATTATTTGAAAGAAGATCATCGCAGTTGTATAGGCAACTTATGCAGTTGCGAAAAGAAAGGCTTGTACGGGATTCGAACCCTTGACCTCTGCGATACTGGTGCAGCGCTCTACCAATTAAGCTAACAAGCCAAGTGGGAGCAGGTCGTTGAATTGGTTTCGTGATAAATCCGTGAAAGGATAATGATGAAATTATAAATATATGAAAATCATATATGTGAACTTCGGAGTGAAGAATTATTTGAACGAAGGTCATTGTAGTTGTCTGCGCAACTTATGCATGCAGTTGCGCAAAGAAAGCCAGAAAAAATGGGGAAAGGAAGTACCGACATAGCTTTTTTCTGTGTTTTCTGAATAAATACCATCAAACAGTTCGTCACGATGCTTAGTTGCCTCTTTGATTGAAAAAGAAATCTAGTCTACAAACCATGGAACTTTTAATCAGAAATTGGGCTACTTACATGTGCGGCACGTTTTGATCAAGGAAACTAGCTTTTTTGAAAGTAAACATATATATTTCATTATAAATCTTTCACTGGCCTTTTTGTCACGTTGCTTTTGTAGCTTTTATCTTGTATCAAAGCTCTTTACTATTGAATTTCGCCATGTGCTAAACCGATTGTTACTTGCGTGAAGGCCATTTGCACGATATTGGTAAACATGTTTTTGTAAAACTTGACAAGTATAACGCTATACTGTTACTACTAAACTACTATTACTACTTTCTACTTAACTCGTATATAGAAAGTCGATTTTCTGTACGGTCATTATGGTGTAATTGATATGCGTTTCAATGAGTACATAGTTTTGTTTGTAGCTTTAGCCTGCGAGGCATTGGTGCCGATGACTTTCTTGGTTATTCTATATAGGGGGATGAAAGGTAAGCGAGGGGAACATTATCCATTCGCCCTAAAAAGAGACCGGGTCGGCTACGCAGGCTATTTTAGCTTTGAGTTCGATGAGGAATTAAAATCATTGTTAAAGAACTGTAGCGTCGTTAAAGGACGCTATTTTAACATACTTTTGAATAACGAGTGTAAGTTTTGTCAGTGATCTCACATCTCACTTCCCTCTTAAATAACGCTTAATAGACGAAACTTTTAAAGGTTTCTTGTAAGCTCAAAATTGACTGACGGAATGTTCATGGCTTTCAAAGCGTTAGATTATCAATGCGCGATATGTAACCGTGCATAGAAGCTCGATTATCGTACTTTAATTTCCGTTTTCAACATTGTGTCTTTGCCTTGGAGGCACTATTGAAGGCACCACTTAAGAGCGGTAAATGTGCCATTTAAGAGCGAAATAAGAAACACGTTAAAGCCACTACACCTATAGCACAATACACAGGATTGTGACTTCTTATTAGAGCATAATTAAGTACTCCATACACGCTCAAAGAACGATTGCGAAGTATTAATTGCGTATGTAGAGCGATGCGTTTTTGAGGATACGAAATACAAGGCAAGTTGTCTGAGTTCTAAGCGTGGAGAGAGGGATTCGGCGAAATTAGGAGAGTTGACAGGTAGGCGATTTGATAAGTTGCATTAATCCCCTCCTTATAGTCAAATGATAAGAATAATACTTTATTTTTATAGGGCCATTTCCAGCAATACCCAATGGCGCTTTCCAAGAAATGTTTAAAATATTACAAATATTGCTCATAAATTACATTAAATTGAAACGAATAAAAACGAATTAAAAATAGTAAAACTAACTGATAAAAAACACTTTCAATTAAACGACTAAAACATAAAAGGACTAATTTATTGAAAAGGCTTTCCTAAACAGATAAGTCTTAAGTTTTTCCTAAAAACTCTCACAAGATTTAATTTCTAGTGGCATATCATTACACAACTGTGGAGAGGCTGCTGAAAAAGACCGGAAACCACAGTTGCGCAGATTATATCGGACATCAAGCAGACGCCGAGGAATATACCTCGTAACTAGGTCGGACAAATATGGAGGGGCTAAGCCATTTAAACCTTGAAAGGTCATGAAAAGAATCTTAAAAGTTATGCGCTCTTCTAGAGGAAACTAATGCATTTCCTGTAATATTGGTGAGAAATGTTCATGTTTAGGTGTAGGCGAAAGGATTCTGGCCGCTACATTTTGAACATGCTGAAGTATCTTGATAGTTTATTTCGGTAGTCCATACAGAGGTGAAATATAGAAGTCCAATCTGGAAGTAATGAAAGCATGCACAAGTATTTCCGCCGTATGGCGACTGATATATTTCTTTATGCGGCTAATGTTTCGAAGGTGGTAGAAGGTGGTAGAGGCCTGCCTTGCATACGGCTGACTGTAAGAAGATATTTCATCGACTTGAATGTATCACACAGAACACCAATGTTTCTGCAGTACTCGTTACAAATCGTTGAAACAGAAACCCCTTCCAATGAATTTTCTCTTAAATTTCTTGCATTCACTCTTCACACATTTGTTCTCACTCAAAAGTGCCCATCTCCTTCCTCAATGTTCAGCCACGTGTATTTTGGAGTACTGAGACGACTGTAATACCCAAATTAACATTGGGGAAGGGGAAACGCACACAAGTGTTCCAAGATTTGTGACGAGTATTGTAGCTACCGATGACTTGCTAATCACCTCATCACAAACTGAAATTAACGTCAGGGGCGAAGGTTGGCGATGACTAGCAGTTAGCACAACTAGTTCTGTCTTGTCCCTGTTCATCTTAAGCTTGTTTACTGTTATCCAAGCATCGATATCTCGCACACAGTAGTCTTCTACCGCTAATTTTGCAAGTTCAGCAGAGCATGATTCAGAGGTGAGAGGCGTATCATCGGCATACAAATTTGACTGGTGTCTGATAATATCACCCAAGGGTGAAGTATAAAGCAGGAATAAAAAGGTCAGAGGACACTACCCTGGGAAACACCATAATGAAGCTCACGCCACCGTTTACTTTCACTGTCCGTGGTAACGATCAGACAAATAACTATGATCTAACTATAAAGCACTACACACTGTAAAGTGCGCAGTCAACGACGCCAAAACATCGCTCTTACTAGCAATGTTAGCTGAGTAAATTATAAGGACGGAGAAATCGTAAATTAAAGTGGACTTGATATATTTTCGGCTAGCGCGCTCGATTTAATTTTGGTGGGCCAAAAAAAGGCTTTTAGTATGACCTACAGGAAGAATGCATGTTTTTTTCAAAAGACAATTTTCGGCACAACCGCTAAATATATATAAATACACCCTTGATGCTATTATCTTCTGAAAAATGGTGAAATTCACGGTGTTAACAAATGACGAAACATTACTTTCTTTGCACGGGTGTAAGAAATAGAAAAAAATCCTAAATCGAGATAAAATATAGCTTGAAAGTAACTTTGAGAAATGTGTACTAAACCTTGTAAGGATGATGTATAGATTTCCTTTCGTTTTTTCGTACGAGCGGTTTGAAAATGCCCTAATTTGCATAATTTCCAGGTTTAAGCCGAAATTAAACTTTCCTATTTTTCGCAAAAACGGGGCTTCGCTAATGAGAACTTTCGAATACTGCCACGGTGTTTGAAAATAGTATACCAAAAGGGTCTTTTGGTGAAATAAAAAAAAATTCGAATTTTTTGAACTGCATGTCGCCGGATTCTCGATAGTTACCGACAACGGCTCTTAATCGTTAATCTTAATCGTTGTAGATAGATTTTGCTTCCCACCATTTTTTTGCTGTTTCTTCTATATCCCGCACTTTGCTCGTGCACAATTGGTTCGTTTTTGCCGTGTGTTTGGTCGGAAATCGAATTCAAGTTTGTTTTGAGTTTTACTGTTCGGCTAGCTTTCTTTCATTACGTGAAACCCCAGCACATTACAGTTTCATAACAAAACAAAACAACAAAAACAACAACAAAAACACTCATGCACTTTATTGGTAGCACTAATAATACGAATTGTTATACATAGTGTTCACCATCTTTCTTCTCATTCTATAAAAGCCTTCAGTTAATTTTTGGAATCAGCGCAACCTACAGATTTGATAGTTATCTACCAGCAGGTAACTGTCTAATATGTAGATTTTCCGCACAATGCATGATTTCCAAGAACAATGTCAAACTGTGGTCCGTGCGACGATGTGTTTGTCTATTTCTATTTTTCTCTTTAAAACAATGTATAATAAAACAATTAATAAATTCGGGTTTTGTGATATTCGGTTTAATCAAGGTCTCGGTAAGTTTTATTAGCCTTGGCGTTCGCCTCGGTTCATAAGACCTACCCCAAAATATAGAAAAATCTGTGGAAAAAGTTAGCAAAAACGAAAACAAATAGCGACATCCCAAGGATAATCAATCCGCTCTTGTTCATTAGCGCGCCAGTACCACGAGAAGCCTTTATATCCTAAAAGGAGAGTCGTATGGATTTATCTGCGAAGAAATGCGTTGTTTACTTACAAATAATACAAGGAAGAGAGATCTGAAAATATTCCTGACGGAAGCGTCTTGAGCTCGTTGTCGTTCAACTGCCTGCAGGAAAACAAATGATAGTTAATATGTATGAATACAAAATCATTTTCGGTCATCAGTTTGTAAATGCTATTTGTAACTTTTACAGTCATACAGCCGCGTAGAATGTTCAACAAAATGTGTTATGGTTGATGTGCGGGAGTTCATTAAATTGGTATGTACCTGTGCTATATGTATGCCATACGTGTGCTTCAGTGAAGGCACCGTATGGGATACAGAAGAAATGCTGTTGCACGGGATCTCTGGCACAAGTACTAGCCTTAACCAGGGATAGAACACTTGATCAAGTAAATGGAAATCTTGTTCCTCGCACGCATTGTTTAGTCTTAGAAGCACTGTTAGCAACACTACGGACACGCGAAAAGTGCTTATTTCTCCCCTGTTCTTAACCCTTTTGCTTAATTACGCAAACAGCAATGTTACAGTAGTTCCGAATTCTGGGTACTTCCGTTAAACGTTAATAATACATACATACATACATACATACATACATACATACATACATACATACATACATACATACATACATACATACATACATACATACATACATACATACATACATGCATACATGCATGCATGCCTGCATGCATGCATGCATGCATGCATGCATGCATACATACATACATACATACATACATACATACATCGCTTTATTTGTTAACGCAGGTTGGTAGAAGTCAGCCAGAGGCTGATGTGGACCTGCCTAAAACATTAAGATCTAGTCGCATTAACTAGGATATATACAAGTGTGAGGTATGCAAACAATTAAAAGTATGAACGTGAACATTCATTGATTAAAAAAAGATTACTATGTCCATTGTAATCTATTGTAACTAAAAGAGTAAATAAATAAATTTTTCAAAAATAATAGAAATCATCATCCTTATTTGTAATCAGACATGATTCCTTCTCGAAGCTTAATTTATCTAGTAGCGCCTGGTCTTTTTTTATCTTTTTCTTAAAACTTGCATGGCTATCAGAAAGTTTATATGACTCCGGCAGGATATTCCACACAAAAAGCCCTTTGTAGGATAAGGATGTTCTTCCCATGGAGTAATAAATTGTACTTTGGTACCTTAAATCAATCCCTTCTTCTTAGGTTATACGGTAGCTGCTCAGTTTTGTGAAATAAGTCACAGATGGGTTTAGGTATTAAGCCATAACATTACATGAGTGAGGTTTACTTAAGTTTGTAAATATTAGTTAAGGGCTGCCATTGAATGCGTTTCAAGGTAGCTGCTCTTGAGTAGATCAGTTCAACATCACATAACAGGAGAGGGTACGAGTTCCCCAGACTAGCACGCCATATGTAACGCTGGGAACAATGCGTCTAAAGTAAATGGCTTCCAGGACCCTCCTGGGTAGGACCCTCAGTCGCTTTAGATTTTTGACTTTTCGACTAGAGCTCTTACACACAGCGGTGATCTGAGGCTGCCATAATAATAATGATAATTTAGAGTCAACGACTACCCCCAAGCAGACACTTGAATAAACATAACTTAAGATCTTATCTCCGAGTGTAACTGGTTTCACGGGGCCACAAAAGCTGTTTCTATTGAGTACCATGACCTCTGATTTCCCACTATATGGATAGTAAACTTATTATTTCTGCACCAGTTACGTACACCCCCCAGTATGCGATTTAGTGCATCACACACTACATCGACTGAGGGGCCTATGTAGAATAGTGTTGTGTCGTCACCCACTACATTTCCATTATCTAGGGCTATTTTCCATTTCATGCATATCAATTCTCACAAAGTCACATGTGGTAACTCAGGCCCGGTGAGGGTAAAAAGATGAATGAGTTTGCGAAATGGCATGTGGCATGGATTGCGGAATGACATAATTATGTGGAATTTAATTTATGGAAAATGGCGCAAAGAAAAAAATTTCAACAGGAAAGCATGCTCGCGTGTCTGCGGCACCTTTTTTGGCGCCAATTTGAGCGAGCAATAGATTTGCCGGTCCATTTGTTACTGCAAGTGAAGCAAGGCTAAAATTGAAACAAAGCTGATACACGAATACTTGATAAATCATCCATAGCTCTTTTCCAAAATAAACTGAAACCGTCACGCTATTTGTAGAAACTGAGTGTAGTCTGCTTGGTTATTTATTAAAGGCTATATATGAGTAAAAAAAATGAGCGAAATGGAATGTTGACATTATTATTGTGAGTGATATTTCCGAAAGCTGATCTTAATTGTGATTAATAACGGTATGACCAGTAGCTATCACGCGAGCCAGTTAAAAATTTAAGGGTTAAGGACACAAGATTACAAAACCGTCTCTGAAGCCATTGCCACTTGTTCGTTATTTGGTTCCATGGGAATTTAAAAAAGTAGAAAGATTATGAGGCCTTTGCGATCTAAAAGAGGCTCAGCGATTTCTCCACAGTGAAGTTCTAGTCTAAATAACTAGGCAGCCATAGTAACATTCAGTAACAAATCTACAATAAAACTCACTCAGTTGCCCATTGGTAGCGAGGGGGGCGTAATCCTCAGAATTCGTATTGCGGTGTGCTGCACGATTCTCCAAATCGCGAGCCTGTTTCATATGTCCCACCCGTTTTCAGACCTGGCTTCCTAAAATACGTACGCTTTATCAGAAATGGCTTTTTGACGTTGTGCTCGGTTTGCAAAACCATTAACTAATTGTCGACCTTGTCCACTTGAAGTCAGCATATAGTTTCAAATATGTTTAATATTTAGCAGTATTTGACACTGAACATTGTTTCATGCACAAAATTCTAGACTAAATCAAACTGCATATTGTGCCCTAATGGATACAGCATGCACATGTACTAATCAATCCCTGCATGGCGGTTATATGAAGAATAATAGAACAAAACAATGATAAGAAACTGAATGGAAATACATGGACTAATTGTATTGATACTATAAGACTAAACTATTGGTTCCTAAAAGAAGGTTAAGTGCTGCAAGCAGATGCTGAGATTACAAGCGCTAAATTTCTCGATCACGAAAAAAATGATGGAAAGTTAGGTAATTTATGTGGAAGCAGCGTCCATTTGGCAGAATGTATACATTATTGGTGTGAAGGCGTTTTTGTCCCACCATATGGTCGTATTAGGTGATCTACTAAACACATAAATTATTGCACATTTGCCGCAAAGGCAAGCAATTAACATCAATATAAGAGGTAAAATACGGTATGCTATGTAAAGAATAGTTTTGAACTGACGTGCAAACAATAAGAGTACCCTTCTATTAAAGTTTTTCTTTTGCATTTATGGAATCAAGAGAATAACTTTTTGGGATAAATGGCTTTCGTAGCCATAAAGGGACAGGTTTGCAACTCCTTATAGTGTAAGAGCAGTAAATTAAAATTAATCTTTAAAATACTTGACAAATCCGATCAGCAGGTCTCGCAAAAATAACCTCGTTCCCAGGGTTTTCTCTCTTGCTTCGAGAAAGAGCCCCGGCTGCGGCTGGTCACGTGGCTCCCAAAAGCTAAGAGCCTCATCCGAACAATTTTATTGGTAAAGTTTTCCACATCATACAGACGCTTTCGACGCTTTCGAGTCAGAACAACAAACTTAAGCCAGAAAGCCCGTCAGCTTAATGGGTTTCGAAATCATATTATGTGATGAAAAGGTATACAAATCAATTTTGGCATCCCCAGAGAAAACCAGACGTTCCAGCTTATCAAGAATTTAAGACCGCCGGTTCGAAAGCAAGCGCCAGAAAGCAAACCATTCAGTGCAACGTTCGGCGTTTGCTTGGGCGAAGAGTTTTAGTCTTTTTCATAAACAAAAGTTTCTGTTAACTTCGCAAAGGAGAAAGCAACGCACAATACAGTAGTCAGGAGGCATATAGAGAGATAGACTGAAGTAATTTCCAAAAATGTTTCCCTGGTTTGCAATTGTTGTCTCTTGCACACTCAATGGATCATCATAAGGGAAAACAATAACAACTAACCAACAGTTAAATTCTGTATTTTCAGAGTACGACTTTTTTCTTAGGGTATTAGTCACATTTATTTATAAAAAGCGACTGTTCACATCTGTTCGTGTAGTACTGCTACAGTGTGAATCTTTTCGCGGCATCTAGAACGCAGCAGACCTGTATGGGCAACCTCATTGATCTTGAGGTAAGATGGCCAGGCGTTAGAATATAAAGCCTTGAAAAATAATTTTAAGTAAATGAAAATTTGTCCTTTCCTTCATTGGAAACCAAACTATTTTTAAAACATATATGTCTCTAACATAACGTCCAGTGACGTAAATAGTTGCAGCAAATTGTAATTCAAGAGAAGGATCAGGAAGTGGATAAAAGACTAGTGTCACATTAGTCTATTTTAGATGAGACTAAACGAGACTAGGTGTTTTTGCGCTTAGATTCTGTTCCACGCGAGCGGATAGAGTTAATAATTTTGACGAACTTCGCATCGCGCGTGGAACGTGCGTGGATTGCAAAGCGAGACAGAAACACGAGTTGACTTTATATCGGGTTGGTAGTCACAGTGACGTCATCGATTTGTGACGTCCAGGTGCTTTGGTTTGTTGTTTTCACTGTTTTTGGGCCTGTTTTGCCGTCAAGAAATTATCCTGGCTAGCAATATTTATTAGAGAAGTACTAAACAGAAAATATTGTAGAAATTTGGGCTAATAGCTTCAAGATACGAGCGATCGAAAATCGAGATAAAAGAGCAATTGTCGGTACGTCTCACTTCTCAGACGAGTTTGTTTATGTTTCTACAAAGTGCGTTTCAGTTTGGACAATACGGAAATAAGAAACAAAGAAAGAACAAGTAGGGACCTTCAAGACGATATTCGTTACTCATCCAGTTCCTAACCGGACAGGGCTTAACTTGAGTTTCGCGAGGGTTATTGCGAGGTAAGTATTTCTTGTAAAGTTTTTAATTTTCCGTAAAACGCCAAGCGCACTGTGGCAGGACTTTTGACAATTTGTGGACATGCAGTCTTCCCAAGATAAATGTTCACTGAAATGAATCCCGAGGAGCTTGGTTAGACTGACACGCTCAAGTGATTTACTGCATATCCCCAAGGAGGGAATGAATTGTCCAAGGTTGTAAGCACGAGACATCTGGCTGGTGGACAGAACGATTGTCTTGGTCTGGATGGAGTTTAGTGCTAGGTGAGAGTCAGACTAGACCAAGAGCTGAGGGCATTGAGCACACAGTTGAGATCTTCAGTTTTTGAGAGAGGTTATTAGGGCGGCGGCTGTCATAAATAGTCCTATCATTAGCATGACTTTTGATAAGGAGGGGCTTATCCTTTCCTTTTTTCCAAATCGATGGAAAATAGGATTTCCCAATATGCGGTTATTTATTATTTCGGTTATTGGGCCAGCAATTATTTCAGCGACCATTCACAAATTTTACAGGAATTTAAGCACGATGAAGGCATCATTTTAGCGCGAGTGCAGAGGGACTTTAAAAATACTACACCTGTATCGCAAAACACGGCATTTTGACTTCACCTGTAGCACAATACATGGATTGTGAATACATCTGTAGCATAATACATGCCTTGCCTCGATCTATTTAAGGTTATTAAATTTTTATTCACTTTCATATTTTTTAAGGAAAGATAAGACCTCATCAGGCTAAATAAAAGCACGATCTCTTATGCACGATGAACGCTTAATCAATTAAATCACGATTTTCGGTGTTGCCTATAGTCTGGAAACTCGTCATAGTTTGACCACGGAGACGATGGAATTTACCATAAATTCCGCTTCACAAGAAGTAAATTTTGTTAGTCGACCGTCGTGCAAAATGAATCTAACAGAAATTTAAACGAAAGAACGCGGTATTTGGAGGAACTGAGTATATTCTGGTTGGTTCCC